TCTGATCAGCTGGTTTTATTGTTATCATCATATTTGTCCAAACAAATGGACCTTTAGTGGTACCAGGCATTAACATGAACAAGAAGTTGAAGAAAACAAGGGGGTCTAATTTTTTTTCCATGACTGTATATATGTGTGTGATTTACAGAGTAAAAAAAAAAATCTGTCCCTTTTAGAAATAAGCCCTCATTAAAGCAATGATATCCATAAACATTAAGTGTGTTTAAATATTACATGTCTACAGTATATATGCAACTTACTGAAATATCTAGAAAATATCAATCACACACAAACGTAAAAACAAAAAACGTGAACTGTAGTTTATAATAAATCTAATCAGATGTAATTATGACTGTGCCCTGCTGTCTAACCAAAAAGGAAAGTAGGACAATTAAGGCCGTCGTCATCGTTCACATGACCCCAATGTTTACGCTGCTTCCGCAACCAAACTCTAGTCCCGCCTCTGGCCTCATTACGATTGGTCAGTACGCTGAATGTCGCTTTCCTATTGGATGTTGTCCTGTCAATCACAACACTTTCAACAAGTTTGCGTGTAACGCTCAGAGTTGGTTGTTATGGGCTTGACTCATATCTCTAAAAGTATGTGGAAGTTATTATTCTTTTGTTATTCTTTCGCCAGCAACTGTCTAGAAACATGTTAGATGATCTAAGTTATCGCGTCCCGCTAATGTCAAAGTTAATGTAATAAATTGTCTGTCGGATGATGTCACAACGTTAGCGTTAGCGTTAGCATAGCGTCAGTGAGAACAACAACAGCAGCAGACTTTCAAAAGCTTCACATGCCGCTTTTGTCTTCTCGTCTTTTGCTTTTTGGTTTGAAAAAAGTTCGTCTGAGCGCTAGAAGTGCCTAAAATTTGCGTTGTAAAACTGTGGCTGGTGGTTTTAACTCGACCTACGTTAACCTAGTTAGTTAGCTGTTAGCATAACAAATGTAGCGTTAACCAGACGTTGACTCAAAAGTAAAGTCTCATGTGCTAAAATGTTAATTCTGTTTGTCCTGCATCGTTTCTTACAGTATAAGAACAGTTTAGTTGGATGTAGTACAAGGTTACGTGGTCTGTTTAGTTCCACAGACTGTAGCTAACTAGCAGGTGAACAGTAGCACTAGTTGTGTCAGTGAGTGCAGACTTGGAGTTCTACTGGGAACCCGCCTGCTTTATGTAGGATGGGTAGTCCAGCTCATGTGTGACCAACAGATCGTTTTTCTTCTTGCACAGAGCAGCAAAAAGGGCTTTTATGCATCCCTCCAAAAATGTAGTGGCTTTTTAGTCAGTTTTGTGTTTCGAAACATTCAAGGCTTTGTTGTCCTGTAACATAATGAAATATAAAAGCCATCCGTGCAATGCGTTTGTTAGCTGGCTGTGTCTCTGCATGGAGCTGTGATGGACCTGCTCACAGGACGCAGCCTTTCAAACTGCAGGGCTTCAGAAGAACCTTTTCACCTGGTGCCGCTGACGCCCACCGTTTCACAGGCACAACACATCACTTGCTGAACATTTTCTTAAAGACAGTACAGTTTACTGATGTCCTGTAGAAGCCCCACGTGGCTGGCTGCGGTGGCTGACAGGTGTGTGACCAGAACATACTTACAAAGAGTTGAACCAGGGCGTTTCTGATGGCAGCTTTGTCTGAGATGAAACCTAGTGAGTTTTTTTTCTACAATGCACAATGCATTTCACAAGAAGTCTAGAAAGTACTGCGCTCTGCCACTGTAGGTAACCCAGCAGCTGCCTGACACCAGAACACAAACTACCAAACTGGCACACTGAAAAAAGCTCAGTCTGGAGCCCTGAGCTGACTGCTCACACAGAGTGATGTAGACAAATGATACGTATACAAAGAACAGTGCAGAGAATGTAGTGGAAAAAATACGAGTGCAACAAGTATGGCAGGAAAGGTGCTCTGGCCTGTGATTTGAAGAGAGGCTTGTCAGTGTTAATCAGACTCGTGGCCTGCCTGCCATGTGTCGGGCTGATTGGATCACTCTCTGCAGGCACTTCCGGTCCTTTTGTGTCCCGTTCATGCACCATACTGTGATACTATCAGTGGAAATGGTCTCAGTGGTGAGCTGGTAGAAGGTGCAGAGAAGAAAAGGTGCTGGTTTAAACTTCAGGATTATGTCTCAGAAGTTTACTGAAACAACTAAAAGGTGCATCACTGGTTCTACTTGATTGTGTGATTGAGGGGATAACACAGACCTTATTCCCAGTACAGGACAAGGTTTGTGTTATGTTGCAGCACAGCATCAGATGCACTGTTGAGACGTAATGACGTCCTGTTGAGCCGCCACAGCCTCTGCCGGCGGGTCGTGTGAAGTCCTCGCTGATGTGAACTTAGAAGTGCTGATTAAGGTTTCTTTTACTCCAGCATATGCATTTTTGCTTATCAAATGGTCAGATATAGCAGGAAAATGTAGATTTATGTCAAGTAAGGTCAGATATTTGAGAGAGACAGACTTTGTAGATGAACCAGGAGCAGGATCTGGAGCCACTCTTCAGGCAGCAGGAGGTTTGCCTGTTCTGTTGCTCCTGCTGCTCCTCTTTGGGAGGAGAGCTGATTAACATCCCCCTGTTCATAATTACATACATAAATGATTGTGCTTTATCCTTCCAGGTATGTGAGGATGTATTCATGTTTACGGGCTGCTGCCGTTGTTATAATTGGTCAGTACTGATTGACAGATATCTGAAGACAGCTGCTGAATGTAGATGCAGAGACATCAATCCTTGTGCTTCTCTCTCTTTCTACAATATCTCCAGAACTTTTCACCTCACAAAGTGAAGTTCCTTTAGATGACATGTTGTCAATTGGTCCTATATAAATACAGCTAAACTGAACTGAAACAATATCTGCTCTTAATTTGGCAGTGAATTCGTCATCAAAACTCTCATTAGTGTGCGGCACATTTGTTGGAGTCTAACACATCCGTGTGTGGCACTAATAGAGTACGTTCATGGCGACCTATTGTGCCGGCCTGATTGGGATTCTCTGATTCAGCAGACTGGATGTGACCCCGTGACCTCTGGTTGCCAGGGAGCGAGTGGTGGGACCATGGCTGCTGGGGCTACAGTCGGGGAGAGCCAGCTCCAGAGGATTATCCGAGATCTGCATGGTACGTCAGCTTTATGTTTGTGTGCGCGAGTCTGCTGGCGGCAGGCGGTTATTGGCTTGGATGGTCTGACTGAGCAGAGGAGAAAGAAGACTGGAAAAGTGTGATTTTATGACCTCTGTCTCAGATCTTTTCACCTGGAACTTTCCTCGCCATCAAGTAATTTAGGAAAACAGGCTTCTGACCAGGTGTGTGTAGTGCGGCCTCTGTCAGCATGCAGCGGGACACAGAGTGCCTGCTGAGGGTGCACCCATCACAGGTGTCCTTTCAGTTTTTACGATGGATACGAGGCAAGTTTCCACCTCTAACCTGGCTGTACTTTAAAACTACGGGAGGGGGTTGGACTTTTAGGCACCAAGCGTATTTATGTGTGTTAGCAAGATGTACTAAACGCAGTCTTTTGCTTCATGCTTCTTTCTTGCTTTCTTATCGATTAGATGCTTATGTCTTCTGCAGTTTGTGTGTTTTCTGAGGTCAGTCTAGGCGCTACTTACGAACACGGGTTTGTCTTACTATTTGAACTGTGTTTCTGTGAATTTCAGAGTCTGTCGCAGAGCTTGCAAAGGAGTACAGGGAAAATGGGGAGCCGATCACAGATGACAGTACAAATCTGCACAAATTCTCCTACAAACTGGAGTACCTGCTGCAGGTGAGGGTTAGCCTCCATTGTTTGACCAGACCCAGTGAATCTCAGTGACACACTGAACATCTGAATAACTTGATTCTCAGTTTAGAAAACAGCAAAACTTGTTGAACCCTCATTATTGAAGAAATTGTAATCGCATTTGCATAATTTGATTACTGAAAAGTCAAACCTTTGACTGTTTTTCACTCCAAATGTGTCTGTTTGTCAGTTTGACCAGAAGGAGAAGACGACATTTCTGGGTACAAAGAAGGACTACTGGGAATACTTCAGTGACTGTCTGGCTAAGATCAAAGGAGCCAATGATGGTATCCGCTTTGTCAAATCCATCACTGAGGTGCCAGTTTGTTTTGATTTTAACTCATAAATACTTTCTATATATGAGACCCCAGGAACTTCCAGTGAATCAGCGTTAAGCATTAGTTCTGATGCTTTAACTCCCTGCAGCTTGAACACTTAATTCTTCTCTCTGATTTATTAGTATTTGTAGGAAACAGGACAGAATAGTAGGTGTTGCATTTAAGACAGATTCTGTTTCAGTGTTCATAGCATTACTTCACAGCTGTTTTGTGTTTGAGGTTAGAATTGGCCTTTTTTTTCAAAAAGTTGATAAAACAGTAAATTATTTTTTTTGCTTTGTAGTCTTTGGCTTTGAGAATATCTCAGAGTGTGAATAAACACTTTTCCAAGGCTTTGCGTCAAACAATATCTTTCTTTGCGTCGATAGCTGAAGACATCCCTGGGGAAAGGAAGAGCATTCATTCGCTACTCCCTCGTACATCAGCGACTGGCCGACACACTGCAGCAGTGCCTGATGAACCAGAGAGTCACCAGGTAAACCTGTCAGAGCCCCACGGAGCCCCTCTCTCAACATTTTTTTATGTAGATTCAAAAAACTGAAAAGTGGAAGTAAACGGAAGGATTTAAAAAATTACAGATCTGATCTGAATTGACAAGATGATTAAATGTGAGCAGAAATCTGGACACACTGCCAGAAACAGCCAGGTTCGGTATATGCACCCTGCTGAAAACTGAGTCTTTGGGCTTGAAAGTGAGAAGTTGATGTTCATTATTGTCCTGTCACAGTTTATGGTGCTCCTGCTAAGTCAGCCGTCGTTTTAAACACTCTGTGTTTTATGCTGTACAAGTGATTTTTTTCCAGTCAGTGTTAATATATGAGAACAAGGTAAACGTTTGAGTTTCTGATAATGTTTGTGGAGCTTCTGCGCTGCTTTACGTGTCCGCTTCCTCTTCTCCCCCCACAGTGACTGGTACTATGCAAGAAGTCCCTTCATGAAGCCCCACCTTAGTGTTGACATCATCAGCCACCTGTATGAGCTCAACGAGGTCCAGTTTGATGTGGCATCCAGAGGTCATGATCTCGACGCCTCCTGGCCAACCTTTGCAAGGTATCAAAGAGAACGAGTCATGAAAACAGAACGTAGAGGGTATGAAAGCTTCACATATAAAGAAGATGAGAAATGAGCTCAGAAACATCCCTTCTTTGGTGTGAAGTCAAGCTGTGTGACATTTACCACTGTTTGGAGAATCACTTTTTTTTCTGATCCACAGGAGGACACTGGGAAGCTCACCTGGCCACATGTGGAAACCACCCAGCCGCAGCTCCAGTATTAACAGCCTGGCCAGCACTTACTCACAGGTACGTGACCTATGTCTCTGAGTGCTGTAATTTTAAGATGATTGACAGATATTCCTCACTCCCTCCTTTTGTTCTTGCGTTTCCCTTGTAACCATCTAGCAAGCACCTGAGTTCCCCTCTAGCCCCGACTATGGCCAGGGCCTGTTGAATGACCTGAATGAGTCTCTGCCTGCCTGCATCGAAGATGTCAGCGCAGTTGAAGACCTTCGCCTGGAGCTGGATCAGTCAGAGCTGAAGCAGCGAGACCTCCTCGTTAAGGTGCAGCAGCTCGGCGAGGAAGCCGCTGAGCTCAGGGGAGTAGTTGTGGAGCTCCAGAGGCAGCTGGATGTGTCGCTTGCTACCCAAGAGAAGCAACAGGGTTTGCAGGGAGAGCTCAGGGCTGTTCAGGGGAGAGAGGAGGCTCTGTCCAGAGAGGTGGAAGCACTCAGGACTGGAGAAAAAGCCCGGGAGGCTCAGCAGCTCCAGCTTCAGGAGAAGCTGGCAGCTGCTGAGGGGAAGAACGTAGAGCTCATGGCGAAGTTAGGTGGGGTTCTGAATGAGAAGGGCCAGCAGGCAGCCAGCCACTTTGATTCAGCACAGAAGATACACGAGTTGCTTGACAGATTGAAAGAGGCAGAGAAAGGAAAGCTGGAAGCTGTAGCTGAGGTGGAGGACAAGAGGAGGCGGACAGAAAGATTAGAGGAGGAGCTGAGAGACAAGGAGGTGGCTGCAAGAGAGGCTGAATCAAAACTTGAAGCATTACTGACATCAGTTTCTGAGGAGAAGGCCAAGCTGGAGGCAAAAGTGGAGGAACAGTGTGGTGCTCTTGACAAGCTGCAGGGAGCCTTGACATTGAGAGAGAAGGAGGCGAGCAATCTACAGAGGCAGCTGCAGGACCTCCAGAAATGTGTAGAGGACAAAGAGAAAGATGTGGAAGAGGTGAAAAGGAGAGCACAAGAAGATAAAGATGAGCTGCAGAAGAATGTTGGTGGCTTGAAAGATTCTTTAAAAGCGGAAGTCGCTGCCCTTACAGAGCAGATTAAGAGTAAAGAGGCCGAGCTGACCTCCAGCTGTGAGACACTACAACAGCTAGAAACCAAAAACCAAAGCCTGAACTCAGAGAAGGACGAGCTTACCACGAGCCTTGCTGAGCTGGAGGGTAACATAAAGGAACAGGCCACAAAGATGGAGGAATACAAGACACAGTGCACCAGTCTGATGGAGCTGAATGAGAAGCTGCTGACCACGGTGAAGAGGAATGAGGAGCTGATGAAGGACATGGCAGAAAACAGAACAGCGCTCGAGGCTGAACTAGCAGCTCTGAGGGCTTCTGAGAAACAACTGAGAAGCCAGCTGGATGATACCAAGATGACAGTGGATGAAAAAGAGAAGCGGTTGCGCGAAGAAAACCGCAAGCTGGATGAGACTCTGCAGCGAGCCACCATGGCTGCAAAGCTCTCAGAGACCACGTCAAAGCGGCTGGAACAGGAGAACCAGAGTCTGAGAGAGGAGCAGGACAATGTGAAAGGAGCTCTTAGCCGCATGCAGGCAGATTTGAAGAATGTTCATGGGCAGATCGGAGAGTTGGAGAAGAACTTAGGGGCTTCACGCAAGAACGAGGCCAATCTTCAAGAACAGCTCCAAGCCAAAGAGGCTCAGCTAGAGAGTAAAGAGAAGGACCTTGGTACGTTGCAGTCCAGATTAGTGGAGCTAGAGACCAAGGAGAAGGAGCTTGAGATTGCAAAAGCTAACGCAGAGGCAACCTGTGTTCGACAGACAGAAATGATTGAAAGGGTGACCTCTGAGAAACAGGCGATGGAGAAATCTCAGCTGGAGAGGAGTTCGGTCCAAGCCAAGGAGAACCAGGAAGTGACTGGCAAACTAGCTGTGGTTGAAGGCCAGTTGGAGGTTAGCATGAAGGACGTGTCCAGGCTTCAGGCGGAGGTCCTTGACCTCAGGGTGCAGGTGCAGAGAGCTGAAGAGGAAAAGCTTAAATCCACAGCACAGCTGGAGGTGACAGAAGCCCAAAGAGATGAGCTCAGGACTCTGACCGAGCAGCTTAAATCTCAGACTGAAGCACTGAATAAGAACCATGTAGCAGAGCTCATGGAGTGCAAAAAGAAAGAAGAGGCGCTCGCTCAACAGCGTGATCGAGAAGTAGCTGCCCATGCCGAGCTGGCCATCTCTGCAGCTGCCATCCGAGAAGAGCTGGCCACCCTCAAGGCAGAAAACGAAAAGCTGGCTTTAGAAAGCAACGAGACTCGTGAAGGTCTGCACAGGGCAAACACTGAGATGGCAGAGCTGGGAATAACCATCTGTAAGCTAAGTGCAGAAAAGGAAGAGGCCAAAGAGCACTGGGCAGGCGATGCTGCTAAGATCGAAGAGCTGGAGAAAGATGTGGAGCGACTAGAGGAGTGCATGAAAGAACTACGGCTGGAGAACAGTCATTTAAAAGAGGAGCTTATACAGAAGGAGACACTTCCAAGGACGATCACGGAGCTCCAGGATGAGCTGGAAAAGACCAAGACCCAAGTGCAAAGCATCAAAGACTCCTGCCGAGAGGAGATGGAGGCAGTTAAGTTCCAGATGAGCTCAGAGAGCATGAATCACCAGGTTCAGATAAAGGTGAGTTAGACAGAACCTGCTAATTATTATTTGTGTTACACCAGAAACTCAACTTCAGTGGTTGGATGTAGAGATGGGAATGTCGGTTGGAGCACCACTTTGGTCCAGATTGTAACATCAGAACAAATACATGTTGGGGATGAAACCAAACGACGTTGAACACCTGATTTTGTCTTTAGCACCAACACGAAGTAGCCATTCATGGTTCAGAGTCAGATGTGTTTTAGATGGATTGACATGACATTTGGTGCCACATCTATGTTCGCTGCTGGATGACGTGTGGTGACTGCCTGACAGATTAGTCCTGATGGATTTATGACCGAATACCGACAAGACTAATGGCATTTTGTATCAGCCTCAGCTTTACTTAGTGCTAATTAGCAACTTTAAGCATGTTAGCATTAAGATGCTGAACATCACACTGTTTATTGGTTTACTTTTTTTTGTCTGATGTTGTATGATATTGTACCATAAAACACTTTGTAAGTCCAGTTTAGACAGCGCTATAGAAATAGATTCTTCTTATTATTATCCGATTAGCATAAGCATGTCGTTGTTAGTTTAAGCCACTAGCATGACTGCCTTCTCTTGCTGCCATGTTTCAGAGTGCGAATGAACAACTGGACAAGGTGAAAGTCCAGCTGCAGGAGGAGCAGATGAAGGTGTCCAGCTTGCAGGACAAAGTGTCTGAACTCGAGGTTTGTGTAGGTGGTCAGCAGATACATGGTGGTGGCAGAAGGATCTCCGGAGAGTGCATGAGTTTACACAGTAGAGACGTAATGTAAATAGCAAGACAACATAATCAGAAACACCATGCCGTGTACGTTCACAAGTTAGAAGAAAACCCTGTACTGTGTTGAAAGAAGACTGTAGATGCCGGTCAGCATACAAACACACACACACACCCCGAACACACACCAGCGCCTTTATTCCAGCAGAAGTGATGGAACAAAGGACCTAGTCACCTAGTTCAGTAACGGGAAGTCATAGGAGGTAACTAAAGGGGCAATGCTGTTGTTTTAAAGGTCCCATGTGCAGAAAATCTACTTTTATTGTGTTTTGAGGTTGTTATAAACGTAGAGGTGTTAAGATATACAGATGTTCCCTTCTGCCATTTCTCAGGACTTACACGGTCATGAAATTAATCATCTTTGCTGCATTTTGAGCTGGAAAACTGAGAGAGACACTGTGGGGACATGACTGATTAAACTGCCAAGAAGCGTCACAATCTGGGACCTTTAGAGTTTCTTTTTGTTTTTATTTTTGAGCCACTGATTACCAGAGCAGTTTTTTGTGTTATTTTTTTTCTTTTACTTTGATTGCTAAAGGTAGAATAGATGCAACATTTCTGGGGTCCTAATCAAATGACAAGCTCACCTGGCTTTGAGATCCTAATTTTCCTCTGTGGTTTCATGTGTTTTTATAATAGAATTGATTTTGACAGGGTTTGGCTGGGTCATTCCACAAGTGGTGCTGATGTTTATGTCAATACAGACGGAGAAGATAATCCAGATTTAGTCTAGACATACACCAGATCTGAAACTGGAATACCACTCAAGCGTTACTTGGACCATTTGCTTTACATTTTTGAAATGTCATATATTCAGGAGCCTTGAGCAGCACAGAGCAGTCACTTCAGTTGTTCAGAAAAGTGTCCAAAGTGTTTGTGCTGATGGCTATGTCTGTGTGTCACTGTTAGCATGTTTTATTTGTTTAATAAAGGCTGTGAATGAGCAATACCTGCAGCTGACTGGGGAGAAAGATGCTCACATCACCAAGACAGAAGCAGCAGTTCGCGGGAACGAAAGCGAGATTCAGCAGCTCAGAGACGCAGTGACCAGGTGCGTTCATGACTGGGATCAATGTGAATTTGATGGAAACAACAGGAGATGCCGACTCTTTTTCTACTCCGTTCAGTGCTGAAGAAGCACACCTGGCAGCTCAAAACCTGTGCGACGAACTGAAGCAGAAACTGAAGACAACGGAAGCCGACAAGCAAAACCAGTATCTGAAGACGACCGCGGAGATCGATGACCTCAACAGAACCAAGACCAACCTTGAAGAGCGGCTCATCGAGCTGATAAGGTAGGATCCTTCTCTGTCAGAGACGTGTGCAAGGCTGAAGAAAGGTGTGAAGCTTCATTTTCTCTTTGGAATTCAACCACCGTCTTACATGTGGTCGTGCCTGCTCTTTGATGGTGTGTAGCTCCAGCTGAATCTTCCAATAGGAGCCCTCTGATGTCGCTGACGGCGATTTGGCAAAATTAGGTCTGAGATGGAGGATGAGGAGGGAAAAGGCTTGTTTGAATGCTGAGATAATTTACTTAAATGAGATGTGAAAGAAAGACTTTGATGGAGACGAGAGCAGGAACAGTGCTGCAGAGAGGTGTGGAGTGTGCAGGAGACAGAGCTGAAGGGAACAAGAGCTCTTTATGCATCGCTCTGCCGCACTGCTGCCGCGAAAGCTTTCACGCTCTGTACGGGATGAAACACAACAACGAATCCGTCAGCTCCCCTGGGATGTGCCCATGTGCTTTCAGCCGCTTGTGCTCTTGTATTGTGCATGCCTTTATTGTGTTTTCCAGTTGCGTGATTTGGGGAAATGAAGCTGCTTCCACTGTTCCAGTGTGTATGCAACACGTTAGAATAAAGTCAGAGCATCATTCAAGTACATGGTCTGCTGGTTTAGACACGTTTACACTTTATACAGCTTCCTTTGATCTGAAATAACGAGCCGTAAATGTTCTAACATCCAGCAGTTGCAATTAAACCTTGAGTCCTTTTCAGAATCCAGACTGACATTTGATATAAATGCGTTCTTGTCTTTTTTCTGCCACACATCAGGGACAAAGATGCGCTGTGGCAGAAGTCGGATGCTCTGGAGTTTGAGCAGAAACTGCGAGCCGAGGAGCGTTGGTGGTTGGTGGATAAGGAGGCGACGCATTGTCTCGACTGCCAGGGCCAGTTCACCTGGTGGGTGCGCAGACATCACTGCAGGTGGGCTTTCACTCAGCACCAGACTGCACTGTGCTCACCGTCAAGTCTGTACCCACCATATTTAGATTTTCTGTCTGCATACGGCATCACTGTGTGGATTATTGACGAATGTATGTAAATGTGTCTTCATTCCTAATCCTTTAGGCTTTGCGGCCGCATCTTCTGCTACTACTGCAGCAACAACTTTGTTATGACCAAGCACAGTGCAAAGAAGGAGCGCTGCTGCAGGGACTGCTACAGCCAGCACAGTGCGGTGGTGGAGAGGTTCACCGAGGCTGAGCTGAGTCCTTCAGATGTGGCTCCTCCTCCACCTGGAGCTGGACCTCAACCACCTCCCGAACCAGCGCCGTATAAACCCACCCCCAGGGTAACAGGTGAGAGGCATGCTGAGAAGAGAAAAGACAGGTCCCTGCAACGTACAGCGTGTACACATTCACACGTTGCCCTGGGTCGTGTTTCTCCATCCGTCAACTGGAAATGTTCCAGCAGAAGTGAAAAGGCTGACTTTGTCATATTGAGGAACAAGGACAGAAACTTGAGCTGTTCGGTGGACAAAAAGGGAAGAAGGGTGACATTTACCTTCAAAGAAATAAACAGTTTTACTTTTAACGTGAAGGAAGAAAAGCTGCATACTGTGAAGTGGGTCAGTCCTGAAGATAAAGCTCTAAATCGATTTTCCTGTTCCACACATACATGATGATTAGTGATCCCCTCAGTGTTCTGTGCAGGTATCTAGGCTGTTACATTCATCTGTTTCTTCCCAGTTTCAGACCCCTGTAACCGATCTGACGATGGAGTGTTCGATATCATCACAGAAGAGGAGGTGAACGGCGTCTACGACAGCGACGCCACTTCTCAAACCACCGGAGGCTCCCTGGAGGGAGAACAGGACCGACGGCAGCCAGGGGCGCTGGACATGTGAGTGTAGCGTTTACGGTGGTGCTGAGGGGTTTCTGACTTAGTACATGACTTTATTATTAACCTCTGAGGCTGTGTGGGTGAAGCTCAGCAGCACTCATCAACGGGTAAACACACAAGCATGCTTTCAGTCACTGGAGACACTCCTCATGTCTTTACTGAAGCTCAGGACTGCTGTGACTGTGCCCGTGTTGTTCTTTAAAAAAAGACAATAGATGCCCTTTGTGTTTGAATACAGAAGCTGCAGGAGCAGCTCTGTTCCAGGCTGTACTTGGGATGTACGGAACTACAAAAAACAGAAGTGCCACTCCCAGAGAAGTTTCGTGATGTGGAGCAAGCGCTGATGTGCTACCACATGTCAGAGGAAATGGAAGCGTTCACAGTGACAGCTTCATGTTTGCTTCAGCCCTTTATTTATTTATTTTTTTAAAAAGTTTCCTAACTGTCATGTTAGGCTAGGATGTGAGGCTCCAGAGAATCGATGTGATCATCGGTGTAAATGTGAAGCAGAATTAAGACAGTGAGATAAAACATGCAGAGATGCTCTCGTGGTCCATTAAGATGCATTGACACTGATCTGTAGCAGAATTCAGTCGACTTTAAATGTGCAGCCGCCAACATATTTTGTGAAACAGGCCTGTGTCGGCTGCACGATACCCCAGTGGTCCGCGGTGAAGGCAATCACTGTGTTCTGGTCATACTTCTGGGCCTCTTCATAAGGAAATAATCTCTTTCTCTGTGTCTTGTGTTGGGTTTTCCAGAGGCTCTGGAGAGGCGACCGCTGATGAGGAGCATGTTCCCACCGTTCAGGATTCAGAGATCAACCTTCTCAAATCAGGAGAAGTCACGTGAGTCTTCACATTGATTTATTTCATGCACGTACAGTTGAAGTTCATGGATGAGTCCCTGATGCATCTTGAAATGAATTCGTCCTTGCAGGATGGCTGTCCCTCTCGGCATTGATGATATTTCTCAGTTTGGCGACGGTACCAAGGAGCTCTTCATCAAGTCCAGCTGTTACAGCGTCATAACTGTTGCTGTGGGTGACTGCGGCCCAACCATCTGCTGGATGTTTTCCTCTGAGCCCAAGAGCGTCTCCTTTAGTGTGGTGTACCGGGAATCCAGCGACATTCAGGTGGAACAGTCAAAGGTAGATCCACTGCTTATGTACAAGAACCGTTTAATGTGACATGCAGGAAGCTTTTTCCTATTTCATCGGTCCCTTGGAGTCTACAGGACAGAGGTTCTGGAGAACAATCGGCTATTTTGTTGCATAGTTTTAAATCAAAGTACATGGCAAGGCAGAACAAAATGCTTTTCAAATGTTGCACAGCCAAAATGCCAAAACCTCACAGGTGATGATTCAAAAGCAGAAGCTGTTTTCAGACACAACGGGCCGATCTGTATGTGCCGTCATGATGCCCCCCGCAGAGCGCCGGGCCGCTTCTGCTTGATCTTTCAAATGTTACTGACTGAGGAAAAGCACTGCAGGTTGGCAGTGGTGCCGGGCAGGTTGACGTACACATCCTCTACTTAAAATGTCGCTGGCTGCAGATGAGTAACCATCTGTCATCCCAGATTTGCATCCCCTCACCCTCTTGCCAGGATGGGCTTTTGTTGTTTTTTTCAATGTTGTATTATTTTAAAGTTTACAAGTTTTTTGCCATTATTATGATCATGGTTTTTGCTGTCCAGTATTAATGGTTATGTGAGGTACTAAAAAGTGTTATCAATGATATTTATATCTATAGTGATGAATGTATGTGATGGCGGTCTGTGGTTTCCAATGGCTGCTGTAACTCTGAATCTTCTAAATGAAGTCACATGTTCTTGTCACCAAATCAATCACGCAGTTTGGTTTTCTCATAGATTTATTGTAGGTCTTCTGGAAAACGACAGTCTGATGGCTCAGAAATATGCAAACAGCAATACGAGTGTTTGGCTCAACGTCCCGACATGGACGAAGAAAAAGGCTTCCTGGAGAACAGTTGTGTTGTCAGATAATACAGAAAATGAGCTATTTAGCCACAATAACTAGAAGTATCTCTGGAGGAGAGAAGGTGAGGTGGCAGCGTTACTCCCAGGGACTGGTCTGCTTCCAGTGGAACTGGTGCTTTACACAAAGCAAATAGAACAAGAAGCAGGAGGGTTCACCTGAAGTCTTCAGCCAGAAGGTTGGATCTTGGACGGAGTTGGGTGTTTCAACAAGACACTGACCCCAAAGAAACATCAAAAGTGATTAAAAAAGGCTAAATCAGGCAAGAGTGAAGGTTTTCGACTGGACTTCTCAAAGTGCTGGACTTCAACCTCATCAAGAACCTGTGGGCTGATGAAGTCTGTGTCAGAAAGCCAACAAATTTACTTTAGCGCTCTGATTTTATCAAGAGTGGTCAAAGATACAACCAGAAGCTTATGGACGGAAACTAACAGCACCTGTTTGAGGTGAAAATGGCCAAATACAGTTTGACCCAGCAGACTGTCACATTTCCAGAAGACCTAGAAGAAATCTGTTAAAGAGCCAAAGACATGATTGTTTTTCCATCACAGAAAATGAAGTGGTGAGCGTCACTGGAAGCTTAGGACTTCTGCTATAGACCTGGTTTCTGTTCTGCTCTCAGGTCCTGATTCCTCTGACTCGCTGCAATTCCCATAAAGAGACGATTCAGGGACAGCTGAAAGTGCGACACCCCGGCCTCTACACACTCATCTTTGACAACTCCTTCTCACGGTAACGTCCAACGTTCTTGTCCTACAACAGTTTCTTCCTCTTTTTTTGGCAGCAGCTCATAAATCAAACCAGTGGGATCGTCGTGTATGTGTGACTGAAACCTTTAAGCTGATCAGTCGGATTCAGGTCCTTTAATGCAAGACTTGGTTCTAACAGGTTCATCTCCAAGAAGGTCTTCTACCATCTGACTATGGAGAAGCCTGTAATCTACGATGGGAGCGACTGTCCCTGAAGCCCCCACAGAGGCGCCGCCGTGATGTCACTGTGACAGCTGGAGGGAAACTGGCAGGACGGCAACTCAGTGATTTGTTTTTAGAAACCAAGTATTTTCTGTTTATTTAACTCATGTTTTCACTTGTGGCCCAAGTGAATTGTTCTTAACCAGAAGAAAGACGTTTCAGAAGGTTCAGCTCATGCACCAAGTCTTCTAGATGCCTTCAGTTTGTAGTTTAGTTTTTACTGTTTGTCTGTAGGTCTTCGGTTTGGTTTGGCCTCTCTTTTCCCAAATATCTTGCTGGGAATTCAAGTTACTGCACCTGCCTCTAGCAGTTTAAGATCCGACACGAGGCTGTTAGCGGATGACAATCGTTTCTGTGCAAAAGTGCAGAAATATTTTAACATTTTTTTAAATTCACGGCCAGTTATACGTGTTATGTGAGGTCTTTTAAAGCAGATGCTGTAGAGGTTTGAGCACAGTGCAGATGGGTGTTTGTTTGCGGTGACAGCAAGGCATTGTGGGTCTTTGTGTACGTCATCGTGGCAATGTGTGATCCTGGAGACACCTGCTGCAGACGTAGCATCACAACCATGCAAGATGAAGCCAGGAAGCTCTACAGATGTGTAGTTGAGAGTTTAAAGACTGATGACACACGAGTACTGCAAATATTACTGCAGTAGCAATAATGTGGTAGTGACGAATGAGTGTTCGTTATTTGGAACGCTGTGATGCGACTGGTGCCATCCCATTGCAAGATAGATTCTAGTTCAGAAACATGTCTTTGGACAGCTGTACTTAATCATTCATTAATCAATAATAAATAACACTTTGTGCACACAAACACATACACTTCAGTATCTGCAAACCAAAGAATTAACATCAAATATCAGCTAGCTCGACAGAGGTTTACATTCTGTAGCCGTCTGTTCTGTGCACGCTCCCCTTAGCGTGCCCTCCCTGACCCTAAGCCTTTATGGTAGCTTAGTGTTGATCTCAGAGTATTGATTAGTCCTGTGATCATGTAGTAATGACTGCTGAGTCAGCATATCCATCTGTAGCTCTTTATTTGACTTGTCTGATACGCTATGTTTGCACTTGTCCAGCGCAGGATGGCAAGAAAAAGAGAAAGAAGCAGTAACCAATAATTGCTCTGGAAAAAACAACTTCTGCTTCATCACGAAGCAAAAGCACTTTGTGCACGTCTCAGGAGGGGACGTTCAGCTGTCCTCCAGGGGGAGCATGTCCCTGTTTTTGAAAACTACAAGAGAAGGAAATAAAAACTGCCATCATAGTTTGTGTGTGAGGAGCCCTGCACACCAGCTTCTCCTCCCACTTTATATGTAGGAGCTCATCAAGTGTCTGCTTTTACTATTACAACGACCTTCAGTTGAGCTCCATCACTGACTGTCTGCTAACGAGCTACTGTACGTCCCAAGTGCCTCTCGATTCTGATTGCAGGAATTAGTTTGCTTCTGTATATTTTCCTCTTTGTCCTCTCAGAAGCTGACCCTCAGTAGGGATTGTGTACAAACGGCATTTCTGCAGAATATTACGTCTTCTGGTGATTTTCCTGTTTGGTTTTTATCTGAATCTCTGGAGTCTTTTTGTCGTATTTTTCGATACCGCTCTGCTCTTCTTGTACTCTCAGTGATGAAATCAGTTTGAATATCGTGTGCTGTTTTTAATTTCAAAGTAAAGCAATAAGGATGAATGACCGTGGTCACTTTCAGATGCGACCCTACACTACCTAGCAAGTGATGACGCTGCTTTTCCTGGTCTCTGCTTCTGACGGGGGCAAGTTGATGCAACACTTCATATTTTCTAAAGCTGCACTTTGTGATGACATTTTTAAATGGTTGCAATATTATATCTGTTAAATTTATACTGTTGTCGTCAGATGCTTCACACGCTGACAGATGTTTGTACGAGCTCTTTCTGAAGGAAGGAAAACTGACACGATTCATGGCAGCAGGTGCCGGTGAGAGAAGAGCCAGTAAACACAAATAAAGTGTGTCTGACGTCCTGGATTCTGTCTGTTCTAGTAAACGGCTGCTTGAAATGTCAGAACAACGAGATCGACACGTTATTTCTGCCTCGCTTTCAGATATCTGACATCTACAAAGACGCGTGTTTGGCGTCTAACAATACCTTCAGCTGAATTTACATCACAAGGGATGAGCTGTCTGACAGGGAAAGACTTTTCATTTTGACAGGTGACAGCAGAGCTCTACAGAGAACACAAGCGTTTGAAGTTTGTTGCTCTGCCACAAATCCATGAATTATTGAACCTTACTTGGATTCAATGTGACTTTTGAAAGCAAAAGCACGCCCAAACCTTTGAGTCTATATTGAGACACATTTCTTCCATTGAATCCTGAGAGCTTCAGGAAAAAGTCTCCTGAAGACATTTCAAGAGCCTTCTTCAGTTATTATGAACGGAGCTTTTAATGAACTTCTCAGGATTATCGTGACCTGGATGACGGAGAATCTACACAGAGATATTCCTTCTACATGGTTTTTAATAAACTTTTATAATACTTTGACATTTAAAAGGAATCAGTAATGTTGTAATGTTTGCTTTTCTTCCACAGAATTCACAGGAATTAATGAGATGCACAACCTGAAAAGATAAACATCAGAGAGATACGTGTGTCTGATAATCACCAGCTACAACGAAAACACAACTTTAGTAATTACACGAGTTTGTTTGTCCACACAGTCCACTGAGGAAAGCAGAAAAGGTGCATGATCCAGACTGCTACTGAGCTGTGAAGCTTTGCAGGTTCAACTAGGAGCTGGAGTGTGCCTTCAAAATAAAAGACAGTAGATTTAACTTTATCGTCAGTGTACAGAAGTACAAGTGCTAAGACAACGAAATGCAGTTTTGCATCTAACCAGAGCTGCAAAAGTGAAATAAAATATTAAATGTCCCAGTGACATAGCTTTAAGGACAGTTTGAGTGTGCTAAGATGTGTACAATACGGACAGTGCATGTGAATATCCACCATGTAGAAGTCATATATATATATACTGCACAAGCAGTGTGGTGCAGTAATAACAGAATGAAATGTATGAACAGAATCGTATGAGCATGCTCAGAGTATGAATAGGACAGGCTGTAAACTGTAGGTGGGTTCAATAAATAACAACACATAGATATGTAAAGGGAAATAGAAATATAATTAACAGTATGAACAATGGATGTGAGATGCAGTTGTTTGCATGTCTGTGGAGAGATGTGGGATGTTACTGAACCACGGAGCTTCCTCACTGACAACTTCCGATTCTGGCTTTTATTATGGAAAGTACACCGGAACTGCCTCGTCTGTAGTGTTGCAGTCTTGACAGGTGAGTTATTTCCACCTGGAGGCAGCGCAGCATCCCAGAGCGAGTCTGTGGAAAGCGCCACGTTCGGACCGTAAAGCCGACAGCATGTCCGGTGTCGGGATGTTCGTCGCTCTGTGTTTGGCTCCAGCTGTGAGTATTTCACTTTATCTGCTTGTTTCGAACAGGAAACGAAAAAAAAACAAAACAACTGTGATAAATGACAACTTGGAAGTATTTAGTCAGAAATGACCTGCTTAATTGGAAACAACTGTTTGTAAGACAGATGTGCTGAAACAGGTGGACTCCAGGTCTGTTGAAGAAAGATCCTTCATACTGTCCAAACCTGTATTTTATTAAATGTTGTGTTCATATAATATTAGTAATAAGAAGAAGAAGAATCAGCCGACCTTATCTGTCTGCAGGCGCCTGTTTGGTTCCTCACACAGGTCCAAAGTCATTTTCTCTCCAAACAAAAAAGCATATTGTGATAGTGCAGCACATTAAAAAGACACAGGAGAGTAAGTGTGTGTGTGTGTGTGTGTGTGTGTGTGTGTGCATCGTATGCATGTATACATCCATTTAGTGTATAGATGGAACGCTGTGCACTGAACAGCAGTGATGTCCATATAGCCTGTATGTACATACACACCAGATGTGTGTTTAGATTGGGGCTCCACTGATGTTTTTAATTTCTAATACAGATCATTAGTAACTACGGAGACCAGTAACCAATATGAGAAATTATTATAAATTTGTAGTCAAACTGTAAATCTTGGTGCCACAATTTACAATAAAAAAAACTTCAGTGTCTTCATTTATACGTGTTACATATGTTGAATTAAAAGAGAACTTTTCCCATTTATTCTGCAGTGAGAATAAGCTTTGACTGGAAATGAATAACCAATCAGACGGTGCCGTGCTGAGGGACACTGAGATCCCAGAGTGATGACTACAGATTAAAAAAAAAAAAAAAAAGCAGCTGCATCAGAGCCATGGTAGCACATTTTAAAATGTATTTGTTATAATGGGAACCAGTTTTAAAAAGTCATGATACCAATAATTGGAAAATGTTGAATATTGGATGTGACAAACATCCAGATTTGGTAATTGTTCAAAACCAGTGTTGGATGTGAAACGACAGGTGTGTCAGGTGTGCGTATGAGCTTTGTTGCTGTGTGTAAACTGGATGTAAGGACTATATATGTAAACATATGTGGCTAAAATACCACCTTGTGGTCTGGTCATGACTGTGCATATTTGCTGCTTTACACTTGCTCTGGGTTAAGTCCTCTGGAAGTCTTCCAGGGGTTAGGGTTAGCAAACTGTGAAGGACATTTTTCTGCTATTTTCTGACATTTTAAAGATCACATCTGAGTCACAAGAAAAGAAAAACGTACAACAGACGGATGAATAACAGAAATAATTGCTGGTTTAGCTGTAGTGCACCAGTTTACTCAGGTGCTTTTATTCTGAGGACAGTCAGACAGCACAGGTGTGACATTAACACGTGATAATTTGCTTTTAACTGAAATCAGTAAAGTGAAAATAATTGAATGATTTTTTCTGCCAATGTTACAGCTATTATATATAAGAACAGCTCATTACTGTCTACAGTGTCCAATTTTCTGTCCAATCAACTGTGAGGAAGCCCGACAGCCAACAAATCGTACATGTTTGCACATTGACAAGCCAACAGCCTTTTCTCTTTTTAATCAACCGCTTTATGGAGCCATTATAACGCAGCCACATCACTAATTTCCATAACGGAGTAGAAGCAGCCTACGTGAAGCCGGCAAATGTGTGGTTTGATGATCAGCGAGCCAGAGAGAGAACAAGAACGGGGCAGACGCTCATCACCGGGTTCCTCTCCTCATTCTCTTTCACTGCTCAGGACTGCAGGCCATGATAATGACCGAACCATAAAACACATGCGATTCAAAGGAAAACATGATCACAACAAACCACAGCGACTCTACAGTGATACACGGCAGCGTTTTAGCTTAATGAATGCTGGGGTAGGATTGAAATGCTGCACTTTAACCAGCAGCACAGAGAAAAACAAAAAACAAAGCATGGAAAAGAGGAAAATTGGCTGCGTGCTTAAAGAAAGAAAAAAAAACGGTGGTCTCATCATTAGAGCTAAATCTGCTCGCTGCTCACGTGTGTTCTGATGCAGAGTCATTTAAATGACATTTTGGGAAAGATGCTTATTTGAATGCTTTCTAAACAAGTTAGATAGGAAGACTGAACCCACGCTCACATCTGCATAGTGAACCCTGACAACGCCAGATGTTTGCAACAGATTTACAGCAAAATTGTGGGTAATTTGCAGCGAAAACTTTAGTCTGCCAAAGAGTTTTGTCACAAGTTTGCTGAAGTAAACTTCCAGCAACATTTTATCAGTAACAAGAAGTTTGCCACCAACATGTTGACCACCAACTTTTAGCAGCCTTCTGGTCACAAATTTACCACCAGTGGCAATAGCAGTACCATTCATAGTTTGTTTTTGGTTTTTTTAAGGTTTCTGATAAACAGTTTTTGTTTTGTTTTTTTGCAACGCTGCCACACATTTGCAACAAAGTTCATTTTCATAAGCAAATTAGATTTGTGGCAAACTGGTAGTGAACTCCTGGTTAACTTCATGCCAAACTTTTGTTAAGTTTACAGCAAATTTTCTAGATATGTTTATATTTTATGTAAGTTTTCTAACAGCACATACGACCAACATCAGTTTTTTGGTGCTTTTACTTTGCAGTAAATTTGTGGGTGATTTGCAGCAAAGACATTTTATGACAGGTCTGCTGCACTAAACTTCCAGCAATATTTTGCAAAAACAAGAAGTTTATCTGAACTGGAAAACACGTCCAGTAGTCGTTGGCCTCCACAGTGAGCAGTGCTTCCCTTCCAGCAACCTTCTGGTTACACGTTTTACATTAGTGGCAAATACATCAGCTTCTGTTTGCCGTAGAGTGCATTCGTGGCAATACTAGCATTAGCTATAGTTTATAGCAGATTTCGAGCAGACAACTGCAGATAAACTTTGGCAACGTTGCCACAAATTTGCAGCAAAGTCTTTTTTATCACATGCAAATGAGATTTGTGACAAACTTGAACTGGATTTCTTTTGACAAGTTTGCTGCACATTTATATTTTATGCAGCTTTTATATTTGAAGAGTGATGTTTCTTGGTTTCCTGATGCGCTTGCCGTACTCGGCACTGTTGCCTCACAACTCAAAGGTTGTGGTTCTCTGGACACTGTCCTCCTGCCGTCTCAAGTCCCTCATGTCAGATTAAAGGATGATTCCAAACTGAGCAGAGGTCGATCACTGGCTCAACGATAAAGTGAATATAACTGATGCATGAAGCTTTCCACAAAGTTCCCAGAAGTCCGCTGTCACAAATCTCATTTGAATTTGAAAGTATGTCCTTGTGACAATATTAGATAAAGATTATCTGCAGCGGTCTGACTGCCCTCCCCTCTTTATCCTAAGATAAGCGTTTGGGTTCCTGGCTGCCGCTTCATGCTCGTCCAACTTTTGGCAAATTAAAGTATTTCCAAAAATGTCACACTATTCCTATCCCTTGACTTCAGACGCCGACCTTGTTTGTGTTCTCCTTCCGATTAAATGAACATTTCTTTATATTTCTGTGCTCTGCTACAGTAGTGAGACAGTACCTCGTTGGCTGCTGAAAATAGACGACAACAGCTGCAAAGTGAGTCCAATCCTTTGGCCCCTTTTTGGGTAGTTAGTGGATAATGGGCTTCAACTCTCAGAGAGCATTTTTACAGTCGACTGCGCGCTAACCTGGCAGTCTCTGGCTGTGCATTACGTTTCCACACATACAGTTTGCCACTGAGCTGATACTTCTGTTTCGGCAGGTTCTCCTATAATAACATTATTATAGTATTGTTTTTTCCACCATTCATCTAAACACCAAACTGTTAATTCAGTGCTCAAACACTGAATTTCAGCGACACCATCACAGTCTGCAGAGAACAAAGCTGTCCCACCTTGAAGTGCACACAGAACCTCAGACTCTTATTTTCCGTATTTGATGCCAGAGCAGCAGACGAGGTAAACCGTGATCCACATGCCGCTCGATGGCTTTGAACAGGAGGCGTCGTTGTGCAGCCCTCACTTTTATTAGCATTGCATTAAGAACAAAAAGGACGGGATCATGTCCTCCCAGAGTTTGTCCTGTAGGTCGCTAGTTTGGCTTCTTATTCTGTGTGTATGTGTGTGTGTGTGTGTAGGTGTGTGTGTGTGTGTGTGTGTGTGTGTGTA